TGGAGGTCCAAGCTATCGAGGCAACCCTCAACCACCCCCCCACCCCCTTCTTCCCCCCCCCCCCTCCCCCACCACCTCCCCTCTCCTGAGCTGCCATAGCCCTCCTCAGGGTTAAAAAAAACGACCGTTTTTTTACGGTACCGAAAAAACGGCCGTTTAAAACGGTTTGTAACGGTTCCAGGAGGTGTTTCCAGTTTAATTGACAAATCGGCCACTTTATGGGTCCAAATTGAACCCGAATTTCAGCAGGATGAAGGGGACGGGCCCCTTCTTGCATGTGTGCGTTTGTTGGCATATTTGATAATGTGTTTGACCTTGTTTTTCCCTTTTTTCTTGGTGACCAGAGTTCTCTACAAAAAAACGGCCGTATTTCTGAAAAATCACCGTAAAAAACGACCGTAACAAACGGACCGTATTTTACGAAAACCGTATTTTTTATCCTTAGCCCTCCTGGAAGAGCCAGCTATTGAGACAACTTTCACCCTCTCCCCCGCTCGCGCGCCCTTCCCTTGCTGCTTTTGAGGCGCCTCAATATTCCAGGCAAACCTCAACCCCCCGCTCCCTCCCTTCCCCTCCCCCGCGCTCCTATATTCCCATCTGACCCTCCCCCTCCCCCTTTAACATCTCGTCAGTTCACCTGAAAGTGAGAGCTGTTGACGCACGCCCCTCTCCCTCACAAATCGCACACCTCGTCAGCTCACCTGGAAGTGCGAGCTATCGACGCACAACCTCTCCCCTCCTCTCCACTCTTCCGCCTACAGACACCTCGTCAGCTCACCTCCCCTCCCCCCCCCCCCCCCCCCCCTCCCCCCACACACACCACACCTCGTTCTGTGTAGCATTATGCTGCCTTTGAGAATTCTCAAAGCATTATGCTTTCCGACACCTTCCTTTCCCCCCTCTCCCCCTCTTACCCCCTTCCTGGCTCATCTAGAGGCGTGAGCTGCTTTGGCCTCTCCTTTCTCCCCACACTTGATCGTTTTCCCCATCCTCTTGCTTGTCTCACCTGGAAGCGGGAGCTTTTGAGGCAGCGCGCAAGTCTGAAGAACAGTGCGAGCTGGGCGCTGCCTCAAAAGCGCTGTAAATGTCTGTCTCTTCCCCTATTTCCCGTTCCCTCCCCGCACCCCCCGCTCCCCCCTATCTCTCTCCCACACACATCTCCTTTGCCTCCTCGGCTCACCTGGAAGTGGAGCTGCTGAGGCAGCGCGCGATGCGGAGGAAGAACGCGAGCTGCACTTTTTTCTTCCCTTCTCCTCCACTTCCCCCACTTCATCCTCCCCTCCCCCCCCCCAATTCTTCCCCACAAACACACCTTACTTTGTTTGCCTCCCCTCGCGGCTCACCTGGAAGTGCGAGCTGTTGAGGCAGCGCGCGATGCGGAGGAAGAGCGGCGCGACGACCTGCTGGAACTCCGCGCCCTGCGTGAGCTCCAGAATCTCCTCCAGCTCGCCCAGAAACAGCACCTCCTTCTGGCTGTTAGTTAAGGGCCAGTACTTAAGCAGCCCGCGCAGCACCGCGTCAGCAAGCGACGGATCCTTCTCGACAAACTGCGTGATGCAGTAGGACAGCTGCTGGTGGTATATCGACACGCACTTGGGCTTGTGCAGCGGGATTAACGCGCGGACCAGGAACAGTTTGTGCTCCTCTTTAAGAGGCAGCGCGAACCCGTTGATTATGCTGCCGAGAATCTCTAACAGCTCCGCGATTCCGTTGTGCCGCTCCGTCTCGTAGATAAAACGGTAGAATATGTAGTTAATCGACTTGCGGATGAACGGCCGGTGAACCATGAACTTGCCGTATATCCGGTGCAGAATGGTCTTTAAATAGTCGCGCTCGCGCGGATCCTCGGAGTTGAACAAATCTAGCAGCTTCAGCACGAACGGCTGGTCCAGGTACCGCTTCGCCACCTTAGCGTCAGTCTCGTTACTAACTACAAAGCGCAGCAGAAACTCGTACACGATCTGCAGATGCGGCCACGCGAGCTCCATATTCGGCTCCTCCTCCTCCGGATCGAACCCCTCCGACCCCGTGTTCTCGTGCGCGGACGGGGGGAGCGCGCGGAACAGATTCGCGCGGAGCATCCGCACGATGTCCTCAAACACCGCCTCGCTGAACTTCCCCGTGCCGGAATTGACGTACTCGACTAGTTCTAGGAGCGTCTGCCGCTTAATCTCCTTCTCCTTCATGTTCTTAAGAGGGTCCGCGAAGTCAAACGTGTGGCAGCAGAGCGCGAGCTTGCGGATGAAGAGCGCCTGCTTTTCCGGAGCCGCCACGTCCCGGAAAAGCGGGAGCGGCTCGGCGAACGGCGACACGTTCGGATTCGTTACAGCGGGACTCGCTACGGCGTCGGGCTTGTCCTTGTTGAAGCTGCTCGTTCGGAGCGCCGCGCCAGCGGCAGGCGCGGCGCCTTTCGCGGCATTGGCCCCGGGAGCCTTTCCTCCTGAAGCGCTCCGGGACGCTGGTCCACCGGCGGGACCGGCGGGGGGTGGCGCGTGCCCGTGGTGCGGGGCGGCACCGGCGGCACTATCGTGGTGCTCGGCTTTATTTCCTGTTTTCTTCCGACCCCCTGCGAACGTTTTCTTAACGGATTGCAACATTGCTATGGGATTATAAGGGGGATGGGGTGAAGGGGGGAGGGGGTGGGGGAATGGGTTGTGCTAGCGAGGCCCCCGTTGCTTCACATCTACTACGTTTGGGCGAACGCGCGTAGGAGAGTAACTATATCGAGTCGGAAAAGACGTTCGTGACTAAAGCCGGCGAAAGCGCACAGCAGACAACGAAAGCGTACGTCAGTGTGTTGAATCAGTGGAGGGAAACCCTAAAATCCGACGCGGCCTGACAGGAAGTCGTGACGACAAACTAACGGAAATGGCGGCAAGAGCTGGCAAAATGGCACGACGAAAAGCGAGCTAGGTCGCAACCCTAAGAATGCGACCCAACGCGGGTTCGCAATGAATCCGTGACTACCTACGGCTACTGTCGTATGTACCGTACTGAAGTATGTACGGAGTGACCGCTTAGGTCACTACGCCGCAGTCGAGGGTCAACTAATTAGGTAAGGCGACGCCAAAATAAATACTGAAAATCGAACGGCGGAGATAGTGGGTCTGTGAGGGGTGGAGGTGGATGGGCGGGAAAATTATCCCCACGGGGGACTTGTGAAGGGCGGGCTGGATGGGCGGGAAATGTACCCTACCTTGGGAATTTCACGGAGATGCGCGCTTATTGCGGAATGCGCGGACTTCAGCACAAGACCAGGAGTTTGGCGCGGCGGAATCGCGTGCAAATCGAGGGCAGACTGGTTTGTGCGGGGTGGGGGTAAGGTTGGATGAGGGTGAGGGGGTTGGTGGGGGAAGGAATGGTGGAGTGGTTCAGCGTGGTGCGCAACTCGATGATGTCGAGGTGTGCGCAAGCGTGATTGCGCAGGGCTCCCCTGCATGTGGTTGGTTGTTTGCGCTGCCCGTATGCGCACGATGTTGCTGGGGTCATAAGGGGGAGGCGGAGCGACACACGCGGTCTGTTTCTCGCGTGCGGTTGGTGAGAGTTGATTCCTTAATGAATGTATCTTTACATGTATAGCGAGGCTTATTGATGTAAGCGTAATCTGAAACGTAGGGCAGCAAAATACAGGCCGCATTCCCGAATGACTTCGTTCGTCTTCGTTCTCCCCCACCGAACTTCCAGTGCTTGTCAGATTTACTTTTTTGATGTTTTGAACCGAAACGCACCAAGCAAAACCGTGGTAAGGGGATTGATAAAGAAGTTCGACCATGTGGCACCCCCTCCAGTGATGTCAACTGTGACGTACTGGTTCAGTAAGGTATCTTACGATTTGCGGCGTTTCTAAACGTTTTGGTTGCGTGACGAACCAGGAAAACACGTTTGTCCCTTTTCTGCTGACATACAAACGTGTTCAGCAGGAACCTCCAAGGTGCCATCCGCACATCGCAAAGAACCGTAATGAAACGCTCGAGAATGTACGCGAACCGCTAGTTGAGTCTGTCAAGATGTGCACACGCACCGGTCCTAAATGCTCCTTTACTGTTCATCCAAATCTTTACGCTGGTGAGTACTGAAGCGGTTCAAAGTGGTGAAACGCAAACACCGCTTTGGATTGTACATTATCGTTGCCAACCGATTTTCCTGAACAGAAAGTGAAAACTTTAGGGACCAACCAGAATCCTTCACAAGACGTCTGAAACATTGATGTGCGGGAGTAGGTCTAGTTGACAATGTTGCTGCGTCATTCAGTCAACAGTGGTGAATCAGAGCAGCATATACGAAACTCCTTTGTACGTGCCTTCTATATACGTTCTCTCTTTCTCACTCCTCTCGTGTCCCTTCCCACTCCGTCTTCGGAGTCACGAATTTTTAGCTCGATCGTATCGCTTTTCTTTCTCACACAGCAAACGCGATGTCTCGCGTGAAGAGGTGAACTCGTTATTATCTGAGCCGTTATTGGCCTGTGATTCGGCACCATGGCGCCTGCTTTCGAGTCGACGCAACGGCTACCACGCGCATTGCTACCGGCGATCGAGTCGGCGCAAAGGCTACGCGCATTGTTACCACGTAACATTCATCGCGCGATCACCTCGCTCTACAACGCAAAGCGCGTTCCGCGGCTCTCGGGAGTGTTTCTGATCGCACTCGTTTCGTTAGTCTCCTTAGTATCCTTCTCCCTCTGGCAGTCCAAGTGCTGCCGATGCCTACACGGCAGCAAAGAGCAGACCCGCAGGAGAGGAATCAGCATCAGTAGCAGCAGCGGCGGCGCCGCGAGCAGTAGCAGCAGCAGCAGCGACGGCGGCAGAGTTGGGTTCGATGGCTCAGGAGACATAGTTATTAGTAGCAACGTCGCGTCGGGTCGCGCGCTGCGTAATTCCTCCACCGACGACGATCGTCGGCCGTTCATCTACGTGTACGATCTGGGCCCGGCTTATACGGACAAGATTCTCCAGCTGGAGCCCGCGTGGTACTCGCAGCAGTACGATGTTGAGAAGCACATGACGGAGCTGCTTATAGCGAGTAACGCGGTGCGCACCATGGATCCGTACGAGGCGTCGCTCTTCTTCGTGCCGTTCTTCTCGGCGCGACTCACGCTGTACCATTTCAAGGACTGGGAGAACAACATGCGCGGCGCCGTGGAAGAGGCATCCAAGGTGAGCACGTGTGGTGTGGGGGAGCGAGGGGAGCGGGGGAGCGAGGGGAGCGGGGGAGCGAGGGGAGCGGGGGAGCGTGGGGAGCGATGGGAACGAGGGGAGCGAGAGGAACGAGGGGAGCCAGGGGAGGGGGGGGAGGCGAGGGGAGCGGGGGGGGGCGAGGGCGGGGAGAACAATTTGCGAGGGGAACGGCGAGGGGAACGAGGGTAGCGTGGCGTCTGGGAAGATAGTTTCAAGGTGAGCACGTGGGGAGCGTGGGGAGGGGTGGAGGGACGAGAGAATAGGGGGGAAGGAGGAGAGGGAGGGGGACTGGGCGGAGAGAGGAAAAGGAAGGAGAGGGGGGAGAGGAGGAAGGGGGAAACCCGAAAAGGGAGGAGGGAGGAAAAGGGAGTTCAAAGGGGATGCACGGTGAACGGAACCACGCTATGTCGATTTCTGATTTGCATTTTAAGATTCGGAAGAGCCAGAAACGGTTCAACTCTTAGACTAGAATCGTTGAACTCTTGATTCTTCCTCTTAACCCATACCTCAACCCTTGAACCCTCTAAATCCTGGTGTCTCTGCAGGTTTGGACGGAAATCCTCACCACAGTGCGGCGCAACTACCCCTTTTTCAACCGCACCAACGGCCGAGATCACTTCAGCATCCTCACGCTCGATCACGGCCGTTGCCACTCGCTCACGTTCGTGGACCCGGGCCTCGTGGGCGAGATGTTCTTTGTGACTTATAACGGGGACAAACTCGTTAGGAGTGTGCACGCCAGCAAGGAGCGCAACATGCAGGTGAGGCGAGATGGTCTTTGTGACTTATATGTTATAACGGGTACAAACTCGTTAGGAGTGTACACGCGAGCAAAGAGCGCAACATGCAGGTGAGAGCAACATGCAGGTGAGAGCAACATGCAGGTGAGAGCAACATGCAGGTGAGAGCAACATGCAGGTGAGAGCAACATGCAGGTGAGAGCAACATGCAGGTGAGAGCAACATGCAGGTGAGAGCAACATGCAGGTGAGAGCAACATGCAGGTGAGAGCAACATGCAGGTGAGAGCAACATGCAGGTGAGAGCAGCAAAGCCAGTTCACACACCATGGCCCCCTCACTCCCACCCACCCCACCCTCCCACCTTACCTGCCCGATCGCCACATGGTTATGCTCTCTTGCACCCACCCTCTTCCCCCCTCCCTTCCCCCTTCCCTTCCCCCCTCCCTCCCCCCCCTGTCCCCACCACAGGCCATAACATACAACTACAAAATCCCAGTGGACCCCTCTCTCCCGGACATCCCCTGCTACCTACCCGACCGCGATATTGTCGTGCCCGTGCTCGTGAGCAAGGGGCTGCCACTGGTGGCACCGTGGGAGGGCGAGCGGGATCGCACCGTGCTGTTCCGGTTTGGAGCAGGGCAGCACCATGGGGTGCCGATATGGCACCACGGGCACCAGATACGGAAGGAGTTGCTGGAGGTGAGATGCGGTTGAGCTGGGTTGAGCTGGGTTGGAGGTGAGCTGGGGTCTTCCCGCCTGGTTTCCTGTGGGAGGGGGAGAGGGACCGCACTGTGCTGTTCCGGTTGGGAGCAGGGCAGCACCATGGGGTGCCGATATGGCACCACGGGCACCAGATACGGAAAGAGTTGCTGGAGGTGAGATGGCGTGACGGTGGGATGGAGGTGAATGGGAGGTGAGCTGGCTTGCGCTCAGGTAAGCTGGAGGGGTGGGTGGGACTGTGCAGGGGACGAGGTGGGACGGTTCCTGACTGGAAGCATGCCGGCCTGCCTGCTTGCTTGCATTTGTTCCTCCTTCATCTTTCTTCTCTCCATTCTTCCCACCCCCTCCCCCCCGCCCTTCCGCTCCGTTGCTCAGCTGTACACGCATGCAGGGTATGAGGGGTGGGACTTTGCGGAGAAGGGCGAGGGGGAGACAGACCCTGACTGGCGGACGGCTGTCTTCTGCATCTGCCCGCCCGGCCACTCCCAGTGGACCAGCCGCCCCTTCAAGGTGGGAATGGCTACAGTAGTCAATAGCTACAGTAGTGTACTGAGGGTAAATTCCTGCCGTGTGTCGCCATAACCTTGTTTCAAAAAAGACTAGATACGGTGCAGCGCATATGTTTTATCTGTAGGTGTAATGCAGTGCAGAGCGGTAACATGCTTTTGTGAATGTACCCTGAGTCTCGTAAGTTCCAACATTTTCTCGCAATCCTTCCAGTGAGTGTACAACTTGTGCCATAAAACCCTGGTTGCTTGTTTTGTCTTTTTAACGTTGTTGTTTGTTGGTTTGTTGCTCTTTATCCGGATATTTGTATTCAGGCGTTGATATCAGGGTGCATCCCAGCGACGTTCTTCCGGGAGCACGACAACCGCTGGGTTTTGAGGCGCCTCAAAAGTCGCCTCAAAAATGCATCCCAGTGACGTTCTTCCGGGAGCACGACAACCGCTGGGGCGATGACCTGGACTACCTAACTCCCCCGCTTCCCCCCTTTCCGCCCCCAGGCGCTCATCTCTCGGTGCATCCCTGTGACGTTCTTCCGAGAGCACGACAACCCGTGGCAGGACGAGCTAGAGTACTCCCCCTTCACCTTCCCTTTTCCCCCCTTCTCTCCACATCCCCTCCCCCCATCCGCCCTACCTCAGGCGCTCATCTCTCGGTGCATCCCAGTGACGTTCTTCCGAGAGCACGACAACCCGTGGCAGGACGAGCTAGAGTACTCCCCCTTCACCTTCCCTTTTCCCCCCTTCTCTCCACATCCCCTCCCCCCATCCGCCCTACCTCAGGCGCTCATCTCAGGGTGCATCCCAGTGACGTTCTTCCGAGAGCACGACAACCCGTGGCAGGACGAGCTAGAGTACTCCTCTTTCTCAATCAACATCGATCCGGACAACATGTGGCAGCTGAAAGAACGGATCGACGCTGTGAGGAGCCAGCCGGAGCTGCTCCAGAGGATGCAGAAGAACGTTGTTCGAGTGCAGGTGTGTGGGTGTGTGTTGGGGTGTGTTGGGGTGTGTGCTGGGTTCGCCTGGGTGCAGGGCGAAGGTGTGTGTTGTGGTGTGTGTTGGGCGCTTTCAGGACCCAGCCGGAGCTGCCTCAGAGGATGCAGATGGATGTCGTTCGGGTGCAGGTGGGTGTTGCATTTCATCGGGGATTATAGTCGGTGAGTTTGCAGCGAGTGGAGTACTGTTATGTGAGCAGTGTGATGTGATGGTCCTTCCATTTGTACCAGGTTACAATTACGTAGGTCGTGGGTAAATGATGATTTCTTTAGGCATATGTTCGTTTGGTAATTTAGTTTTTTTTTGTTTATTTATTTAATGGAGCGGGATTGGAAGGCGTGTTAAATATCTTTCTGTTTCTGGATATGTCCGACCCACATGCAGGAATTGTTTCGGTGGACGGGGGCGCTTGATAGGTCAGCAGAGTCTATGCTTATCCGTCGGTTACGAAAACGAGCGGCTGATCTCCGACCGTTTCAGTTGCAAATGGCCAGAGAAAGAGGAATTGATGAGAAGCTTCGTATGACTGGCCTGTAGCATAGGAATTGTTATTTCATGTTGCAAATAAAGGGGTTGAATGTCCAAATACATATGGCAAGCTTTTCCCTGTAGAGGTACCTCCGTAGTACGAACATGCGTTAGAATTTGAGAGTACGAGTTACATGAAAACGCGGATGGCGAAGTGTCCAGGTGAGCGTCAGGTGCTTCGTTTGCTGCGGCTTGGTGTTTTGTCCGGCATGGGGATGCGAGGTCTTGTAACCACCTTGGTTGGCAGGGCGTGTCTGAAGTGAATTTCGACGTTTGCCGACGAAACTTTCGTCGACGTTCCTTGACGAAACTCGACATCCGTTTTCAGCTGTGTTCACTTCAGACACCCACACGACAAAATAACCCACACGTGCCATAGGAACACTGTTATAAGTTGCCCATGAAAATTCGACGTGGAATTAACAGAATCATTCATGTAACTCAATTGTTTGCAATCTCGCGAATTTCGCTTAGCATAGATTGTTGCTGGTAACACCGGATATTCTACTGTCACATTGCCAGCGAAATTTCTCTAGCACGTGTCGCTCTCGTCTTAGTTCTTATTCACGTGTGTTTTGCCACAGCTATGCAGACATGGCGTGTCGAAGAATTGTTTTTGAAACACTCACTGACTACAGTGACTCAAACAGCTGCCCGGTATCACTGTTCGACATCCCTCGACATATGCACGAACGTCGAGTTTCGTCGAGGGATGTCAGGCTGCACTTCAGACACCAACACGCGTGGGTCCCACGGATGAGTTTCGTCGACGAAATTTGACGAAACTCGACGTTTGCACTTCAGACACGCCCTTATGTGGTTTTGGAAATGACGATAGGTGTTGTCGTGGTTTGGCTTGGACTGGGAGCGTGGTGTGGCAGGCAGGCAGGTGGTGTGCGGTGGTGGTGGTGTGGTGCGGTGGTGGGACGTGGTGGTGGTGGTGTGAGTTGCGCAAACGGAAGTTTGCATGTCACATCACATGTGTCATGACGAGTAAAAGACAGTTCAATCATTCGTCTTGTAGCTCTCGTCGTTGCTTGCAGACTCGCATGGTACGTCGTTAAGTGAGTTCACTTCATCGAGATCGTTCGGCTCCTGCTTTTGTACGCATCCTACTGTTCTGGTTCATGACCGTACATGTCCAGAATAGTTACTGTATCTCTACGGCGTGGCAGGCAGTCCCACCGACGAACAATTGTTCTTTCCAACAATCCAGGGCGGGCAGCTCACGGAGGGCAGGTTCTAGCGTCAGGCCACGACCACCACTGGCGTAGCTGAACAGTTCTGTCACGTCGTAGCTCTGTGCAATCACTTGCCCAGAAATCTGGGAACATGTGAAGGGCCGGTCTGGTCCGGTCGAGGTGGCAGTTCCAGAAGCCTCGATGTACAGTCCCAGCCTCGGCTTGGGCTTGGGGAGCCGAAGCCGAAGGTGTTGCCTTGTAAGCATGCGAACCAAGTGATCAGGCTCGCAACTGGACCAAGCGGCCAGGCTCGCAACTTTCAGCCACACCTCTTCGTTTGGCCTGTGGGAATGAAAATACAACTGACAAAGTGGATAGAGGGGTTTGAAGTGCGTTTCTGTGGGGCGGAAAGAGGCGAAGAGATGTCAACTGTTGCACAGTGCAAAGAGAGCGGCAAGTACAGTACTCCACTAAGTCCCAAAGAAAGCAGTCACAGCAGCAACAGTCTCGCAAAGAGATAGGTTAGGAGGTTGGTGGTTGTGCGTATTTCGCGCAAACGAACCTAATTTGCTGCTCTAAATTCGTTTCATTTCGTTTTGACCTACGCGACGTGGGATTTACTCGGTTAGTGCAATCGCACCTCGCTTTACTGCTCTCGACGTCTCTATCATTTATACAAGCGGCGTCAACCACCGCGCCTTAGTCGGGTCCTCTGAGGTACCAGCTTCCTCTTTTCTTCGTACTGTATCTATAGTGAGGTTGCGAGTCTTTGCCATGCACTGAAGCGTCTTGTCTTGCGGGATCTCGCTTCTGAGATTTCTCAGAAAACGAGTCGCAGATACCTGACTGTCGCCGCAACTTCCCTCCTCGTCTCACCTCTCGCCTCCGACCCGTCGCCTATCGCCGTCGCACATCGCACGTCGCACGACGCTCACCGCGCCGCTTCGCAAGCGTCACTTTCGATAACCATGTTCCTCGGAATCGCGCAATCATATTCCAAGCTCAACCTCCCTCCCATGATACTCCCGCCTGGTCTTTCCAAAAAAGTGACAATGCCGCGATTAAATACGCTCATTAAGCTCGTAGGCCTCGTTTTGTGCACCGCCGTTTGTGTCACAATTTTGAACTCCACCGGCTGCTGGTGCTTCAACAGAGGTTCCGTGAGCGGATTGAGCGCCGGTGCTAACGGCGAAGCAGCGAATGTCGTTGCGGAAAGCAGTCCGCTGTTTCGCTCATTGCGTGACGTAAAAAACGAGGATACGAACGGTGTTAGCAGCAGCGGTAGCAGCGGTAGCGGTAGCAGCGGTAGCGGTAGCAGCGGTAGCGGTAGCAGTCTCCGAACGTCCCAACTTATGGCGCCCGCGGACTCTGGTTTAGGTTCGGCAGTTTCCGAACCAGGTTCGGACGATCGGCCGTTCATCTACGTGTACGATTTAGGTCCGGAATACACGGAGAAAGTTATAGAGTTGAACCCGGCTTGGTACAACCATCAGTACGACGTGGAGCGTTACATGACGGATGTCATCCGGTCTAGTAATGCCGTACGTACGCTCGACCCGGAGCAGGCGACGCTGTTCCTCATCCCGTTCTTCGCGGCGCGCTACACGCTGTACTGCTTCCGGTCGTGGGAGAACAACATGCGGCAGGCGATCGAGGAAGGTTCCAGGGTACGTTTCAATTACTCTTAGAAGTGGTACGCGCGGCAGGCGTTCGAGCGGTTGGCGGAAGGCTCCACGGTGCAAAAAAACGCGACGCGCGGTTCCGCGCCAGGCAGGCTCGGCTCGTTTCTTGTCCTGTCCGCCGCTTGATTGACCTCCTTAGCAGCTTCCGTTTCACTTTTCGTCGTCCCCAGATTCCGCTCGCCCATCAGTTCCCGCCTCCTCCCTCTCCCCCCTTCCCCCTCCCTTTCTATCCCCCCTCTCTTTCCTCGTCCCCTCCTCCCCCGTTCTCCCCTCCCCCTCCCCCTTTCCTCCATACTTCCGCCATTTAATTGCCCCCCGTCCTTTCCGCCCTAAGCAATATTCCCATTTTCTTCCCAATACCCCCCTTTTCCGTACAAACAGGTATGGGAGAAGCTTATAACGAGGGTGCGGAAGGAGCACCCGTACTTCAATCGAACCAACGGACAAGATCACTTCGGCTTTGGCACGCTCGATCACGGCCGTTGCCACTCGCTCACGTTCGTGGACCCGCGGGTGTATGGCGAAATGTTCTTTGTAACCCTAAACGGCGACAAGCTGGTTCGCAGCACTCATTCCAGCCAAGGGCGAAATATGCAGGTAATTTTCGCGTTATTGCTTTGTCTCGTTTTGTTTGTTTGTTATTTGGTTGTTTGTTTGTTGTTTTTTGTGTTCCGTTATTGGGCGCCTCAATAACCATCCCCGCCCCCTACAAAACCCGCAGGTCATTTCGTACAACTACGGCGCCAAGATCACGGATCCGACGGTCCCAGACATCCCGTGCTACGTGCCGAACCACGACATTGTCGTGCCGGCCCTGGTCGCAAATCGGCTGCCCATCGTTCCGCCCTTTGAAACGGAGCGTGAGATCAAGGTGCTGTTCCGGTTCGGCGCGTCGCAGCACCACGGCGAGCCGCTGAAACACCACAACCGCGACATTCGGAAAGAACTGATTGAGGTGGGTGGGTGGAGGGGGAGGGGGGGAAGGGGGGAGGGGGAGGGGGGGAAGGGGGGAGGGGGGGGGGGGAGGGGAGAGGGTAGGGGAATAGGGAGGGGGGGGGGGGTATTGAGTCGACAAAAAACGTACCATGGCGAGCAGCTGAAGCACCACAACCGCGACATTCAGAAGGAGTTGATCGAGGTGCGCGGGGGAAGGGGAAGGGGGGAACGGGGAGAGGGAGGAAGGGGGAGGGGGAAGGGGGAGGGGGAAGGGGGAGGGGAAAAGGGAGGGGAACAGGGAATGCGCATGCGAGGCGGAAAATGGCAGTGCGCGGATGGCAGGGAACAGGGCGAGCAGGGCACGAGGTGTGAGACTTGGCGGGGAAGTGGGGGGGGTATGAGATGGATGTTTTTTTAGGCGCCTCAAAAACGGGGAGTATGAGATGGTTGAGGAGGACGAGGTGAAGGAAAATTGTGCTATTAACGTCTGTCTGCCTCTCAGCTTTCCCGCTCCTCCCTTCCGCTCTCCATTCCCCTTCTTCCCCATTTCCCGTGTCCCTTCTCTCCTATCTCCCTCCAGATGTACAAGGGTGCGGGGCACGAGGGGTGGGACTTTGCGGAGAAGGGCGAGGATGAGACAGACGAGGAGTGGAAGAAGAGGGATTGTCCCTGTTACGTCTGCCTCAGTTCTCCGCTTTTCCACCCCTCTCCACCCTGTCCCCTAAACTCCTCCCTCCGTCCAGATGTACCAGGAGAAGGGATACGAGGGGTGGGATTTCTCGGAGAAGGGAGAGTATGAGACGGATGAGGAGTGGAAGATTGATTTCTGCATTCCAACTCCTCGCCTCTCTTCCCTGCTCTCTTCCCTCCCTTCTCTCTCCCCCCCTCTCTCTCCTCTCCCCCCCCAGATGTACAAGGAGAAGGGATACGAGGGGTGGGATTTCGCGGAGAAGGGCGAGTATGAGACGGACGAGGAGTGGAAGAAGAGCGAATGTCCCTGTTACTTCTGCCTCAGTTCTCCGCTTTTCCACGCCTCTCTCCCCCCAGATGTACAAGGAGAAGGGATGCGAGGGGTGGGACTTTGCGGAGAAGGGCGAGTATGAGACGGACGAGGAGTGGAAGAAGAGCGTCTTCTGCATCTGCCCGCCCGGCCACTCCCAGTGGACCAGCCGCCCCTTCAAGGTGAGATTCGAGATTCGTTATAATACCAATGGTATTCCGATCCGATACAGTATTTATAACCCAGTATCACTGTAATGGTAACCCAACCCAACCATAACAACAACCGTATTCCACCCACCCACTCACCTGCCTCCCACTCATTCCCTCTTTCATTCCCCCCTTCCCCTCTTTCCTGATTACCCCTTCCATCCACCCTTCACACCTCTCCCCTCCATCCCTTTCCCCCTCCCCCCACCTCAGGCGCTCATCTCAGGGTGCATCCCAGTGACGTTTTTCCGAGGCCACGACAATCCCTGGGGCGATGAGCTGGACTACTCGACAGTATCGGTCAACATCGATCCCGACCAGCTGCACACACTCAAGGAGCGGTTGGATGCGGTTCCAATCAAGAAGCTACAACGCAACATCGAGCAGATTCAGGTGAGGGAGACAGACAGTGCTGGGCTGGGTGGGTGGGTGGGTACGAGTCAACTTGTAGTCATGACAATCCCTGGGATGATGAGTTGCACTACTCGACAGTCTCGGTCAACATCGACCCCGACCAGCTGCACACGTTGAAAGAGAGGCTGGATGAAGTTCCCATTAAGAAGCTGCAGCGCAACATCGAGCAGATTCAGTTCAGGTGAGATGATGGGCATGCTGGGTGGGTGGGGGAGTAGGTACGAGTCAACTTGTATTGTATGCATAAGGAGGAGTCACGTCACGACAATCCCTGGGACGATGAGCTGGACTACTCGACAGTCTCAGTCAACATTGATCCCGACCAGCTGCACACACTAAAAGAGCGGTTGGATGCGGTGCCAGTCAAGAAGCTTCAGAGAAACATTGAGCAGATTCAGGTAGGTTTGTGGGTGGGTACGAGTCGATTTGTCTTGTTTGGATGATTGGAGGGGAGTCACGACAACCCCTGGGACGATGAGCTGCACTACTCAACTGTCTCGGTCAACATCGACCCTGACCAGCTGCACGCGCTGAAGGGAAGGCTGGGCGCTGTTCCGATTAAGAAGCTGCAGTGCAGCGGAACATCAAGCAGGTTCAGGTGGGTGTGTGTGTGGGTGGGTATGAGTCAGCCTGTATGTAACTGAGTGAGCTAGTTTCATGGGTCTTCCCAGGTGCATGGACAATTGCTTCGTGTCGCAAAGCCCGTGTCGCAAAGCTTGTGTCGCAAAGCTTGTGTAGCAAAGCTTGTGTCGCAAAGCTCGTGTCGCAAAGCTTGTGTCGCAAAGCTCGTGTCGCAAAGCTTGTGTCGCAAAGCTCGTGTCGCAAAGCTTGTGTCGCAAAGCTCGTGTCACGATTGAACACTCGATTCCATTTCCCATCCTTCCCCATCCTTGGTTTTCTCCCTGAACAACAGGAGGCTTACCGGTGGACAGGGCTGTACAATAAAGGGGCAGAGGCCATGCTTATAAAGAGGCTGAGGCAACGAGGGAACCAGCTTCAAGCAGTGGAGCAGCGGAGATTACGGGCGCTGCAATGATGATGTTTTAATGAGGATGGGGATGATGGAAATGAGGGCAACGAGGGAACCAGCTTCAAGCAGTGGAGCAGCGGAGGTTACGGGCGCTGCAATGATGATATGGCCAGGGGTGCTCGGTGGGTGCCTCAGAAGCCACTTCTGAGGCGCCTCAAAAGCAGCAGCGGATGGTACGGTCCCTGCAATAGGGACGATGAGGAGGACAGGAAGCAGCTCATTCATAAGGCATCGTACCTACGATCGCAACTTTTGTCACAATGATTAATCTCAGGATGTGGATCAGCAGAGTAAAGGGCTCTGGAATGATTATGTACTGTGCTGACATGAAGGGAGCGGAAGGGAGCGGAGCCCCTTTGAAATATCCAAGTTTCAATCCAGCTTGGAACATTTACATCGGTGCGGGCGAGCCAACTGGAAGTTTTTTTAGAATTCTCAAAACACACACGGGTGAATGCTGGGTAGAGAGACTAAAAGGCAGATTGGGACACATCGATTGGGACATATCGATTGGGACATATTCTACAGCAGAATGTAGGCAGCTGCAGAGTCGTCTCGTGACTCGTCCCACAGCAGTAGAAGAACTGGGCAGCAGTACCATACGTGACATATGGTATAGCTGTGCTGTTCAGAGTGATCTTTCGAAGTCAAGCAAAAGAAAAAAATACTGTCTAGAATAAGATAACACATACTAGCTAGTGGAAGTGTGCTCATTGTTTCTTGTAGTGCTAACGAGTAAGCTTCTAGGATGAGAAGAGGTAGACCATAATAGCATCTCTCTACAGCAACAAAGGGTGTTGTGTCAAGTTCCCCAAAAACGTATGACCTACAGGAGACAGGTAATATCTGTAGTAAGAAGCAACCTCCTGCCTCCATACAGATACGGAAAGGCAAGGTAGTGATCCTCATCCCTATATATACATGTTACTATATATAATAAATACAGCGTTATCTGTAACACACGTGAAGATTCGTTACCAAAGAAAGGATTTGTTTTTGTTTTTGTTTTTTTTTTGTAAAATACAAGAACAACTTCTACCCTCATTTTCTATTGCAGGCACACCTGCTATAGGCGCCTTGCTATAGGAAGAGGGAGGTAGAGGAGAGTTGCTTGCCTCGCTGCCGTAGCCTCTTTATAAGCTCGTACTTTGCCCCTTGTGTGTGATTCCCCGACCACTTATTTCTAAGCTCCTCATTGAGTGGACTCAAAAATAGACTTTTGAGTTGACTAAAAAATAGACTTTTGAGTTGACTCAAAAATTGGGGGTGACATGAGGGAAGGAGGACCCTCAGCCAGCCCGTTATTTATAAGCTCCTACACTGCCCCTTGTGTATAGGGAGTGTACTTTTGAGGTGCCTCAATAGTGAGGCGCCTCGAATGTGGGTTCAGGTGAGGGAAGGAGGACCCTAAGCCAGCCCGTTATTTATAAGCTCCTACACTGCCCCTTGTATATGCATGCGCTACCGCTTGAACGCCACCGCACTCCACCCATTTCACCGCACTTCACCCACCGTTCCACCGTACTGCACCGATGCCAACCCACCTGCACTCTCTCGACGCCGCGCTGGAGTTGCTCCACGGGAGCGGTGTCGAGGCGGGAGCGCAGCGAAGCAATGTCGTCCGGATCGATGTTGATGGAGAAGGAGGAGTAGTCCAGCTCGTCGTCCCAGGGATTGTCGTGGTCCCGGAAGAACGTCACTGGGATGCACCCTGAGATGAGCGCCTGGCATGGGGGGTGGGGAAGAAAAATAGGGAAAGGTGAGGGGGGAGGGGGGGGGGTTTAAGAGGGAAGAGGGGGGGGATAAGGGAAGTGCCGTAGAGGAGGCCACGAATGGGACTTTTTAAGCAGGCCTACTACAACAAACGTTTTTACTAAACAAAAGCTGCTGCCACGCAAAGTCATGCCTCCTAAGTGAGGTTGCGTTGGAAGGGAGGGGAAGGCGGATGGGGGAATAAGGGAAGAGCCATTTTGATTGATTGGATTGGTTTCTAACCATGCTTCTCCTTTGGTGGGTGGTTGACCACAATTGTGAACTCAAAGTGACTTTTGAGTCAACTCAAAAGGTTTGTTTCTAACCATGTTTGTCCTTTAGTGGGTTGTTGACCGCAATTGTGAACTCAAAGTGACTTTTGAGTCAACTCAAAAGGTTTGTTTCTAACCATGTTTGTCCTTTAGTGGGTTGTTGACCACAATTGTGGACCCTCCAACCCTTCCTTCCCGCAAGTCGCTACCTTACGTATGATTTCAATTGCTCAACAGTTGGGTTACCGTGACTGTAGCAATCAGAACCTTGAAGGGGCGGCTGGTCAACTGGGAGTGGCATTGACTGGATTTACTTCATTGACTTGAATGACCCACACCCACCCACTCCTACCTTGAAGGGGCGGCTGGTCCACTGGGAGTGGCCGGGCGGGCAGATGCAGAAGACACCCAGCTGCCACTCCTTGTTCGTCTGCTTCTCCCCCCTCGCTGTGAAGCTCCACCCCTTGATGCGGCTCCGCCCATACATCTGCACGCGTGTGTGTGTGTGGTAGAAGGGGAGGGGAAACGCAAGATGCGTGAGTGAGTGCAAAGCTCCACCCCTTGATGCGTTTCCGCCCATACATCTGCACGCGTGGATGGGTTGGGGTGGGGGGAAGGGGGAGGGGGTAGGTATGGTAGAGGTGGGGGCTAGGGGCGGTGGTAGAGGGGGGAGATGCCACCTGTCTGCCCTACACCCCCAACCCCACTTCCGTTTCCCCACACCCACTGAGCAGCTCAGGGAGCAAGTCGTGCCCGTGGTGCACGAGGGGGGGGCCCCGTGGCTCTGCTTGTCTTCTCACTACCCAACCTTGTACCCACAAGACCCCCCACACGCATTCACACACGTACAGCGAGCAGCTCAGGCTGCAAGTCGTGCCCGTGGTGCCTGAGTGGTGCCTGTCATTCTGCTCGACTACCCACCACCCCCAAACCACAAACCCTAAACCATAATCCCCGATTTAAAGCCCAACCCAAACCCCCCTCTCACACATACTTTGCGCAGCTCGGGCCGCAAGTCGTGGCCTTGGTGCACGAGAGGCGCCCTGTGGTTCTGCTTTCCCGAGAAGGCCACTCCCCTCACCCCCCACACACACATGCTTTGAGCAGCTCAGGCCGCAAGTCGTGGCCTTGGTGCACGAGAGGCGCCCTGTGGTTCTGCTTTCCCGAGAAGGCCACTCCCCTCACCCCCCACACACACATACTTTGAGCAGCTCAGGCCGCAAGTCGTGGCCTTGGTGCACGAGAGGCGCCCTGTGGTTCTGCTTGGCTGAGAAGCGGAAGATGGCTCGCATGGTTCGATTGCCTGTGAAGGGCGATACCATGGGCAGCTGGGGGGTTAGGTGGGGGGGATTCAAGCATAAGGGGGGCAGCAGGGAAGGGGGTGAGACGCGGAAGATGGCTCGCATGGTTCGGTTGCCTGTGAAGGGCGACACCATGGGCAGCTGGAGTGGTGGGTGGGGTGTTGGGGGTAACCAACCGCGAGGCACAGGGGATGGGGAAGGGAAACGTGTGGGCAGCAGCGGAAGGAATTGGCTGAGAAGCGGAAGATGGCTCGCATGGTTCGGTTGCCAGTGAAGGGCGATACCATGGGCAGCTGGGGGTTGTGGGAGGGGGGGGGGAGAGGGGGAGGAGGGAGACACGTTTGGGAGGGAGACACGAGGGGGGATTGGGACGCATGGGCAGAAGCAAAGAGAGAGACACGGAAGATGGTGCGCATGGGTCGGCTGCCAGAGAAAGGCGGGCGTCAGGGAACCTAAAGGGGTGGGGGAGAGGATTCGAACATAAGGGGGGGAGCGGGATGTGAGGGGGGCAGAAGCAAAGAGAGAGACACGGAAGATGGTGCGCATGGGTCGGCTGCCAGAGAAGGAAGGGCGTCAGGGAACCTAAAGGGGTGGGAGAGAGGATTCGAACATAAGGGGGCAGACGGGTCGGGATGTGAGGGGGGCAGCAGGGAAGAGGGTGAGACACGGACGGAAGATGGCTCGCATTGTTCCGCTGGTAGAGAAGGGCGACTTTTTGAGACAAAGAGAGTCGTTTGAGACAAAGAGAGTCGTTTGAGACAAAGGGAGACGTTGGAGACAAAGAGAGTCGTTTGAGACAAAGAGAGTCGTTTGAGACAAAGAGAGTCGTTTGAGACAAAGAGAGTCGTTTGAGACAAAGAGAGTCGTTTGAGACAAAGGGAGACGTTGGAGACAAAGAGAGTCGTTTGAGACAAAGGGAGACTTTGGAGACAAAGAGAGTCGTTTGAGACAAAGAGAGTCGTTTGAGACAAAGAGAGTCGTTTGAGACAAAGAGAGTCGTTTGAGACAAAGAGAGTCGTTTGAGACAAATGGAGACTTTTGAGACAAATGGAGACTTTTGAGACAAAGAGAGTCGTTTGAGACAAATGGAGACTTTGGAGACAAAGAGAGTCGTTTGAGACAAAGAGAGTCGTTTGAGACAAAGAGAGTCGTTTGAGACAAAGAGAGTCGTTTGAGACAAAGAGAGTCGTTTGAGACAAAGGGAGACGTTGGAGACAAAGAGAGTCGTTTGAGACAAAGGGAGACTTTGGAGACAAAGAGAGTCGTTTGAGACAAAGAGAGTCGTTTGAGACAAAGAGAGTCGTTTGAGACAAAGAGAGTCGTTTGAGACAAAGAGAGTCGTTTGAGACAAAGAGAGTCGTTTGAGACAAAGGGAGACTTTGGAGACAAAGAGAGTCGTTTGAGACAAAGAGAGTCGTTTGAGACAAAGAGAGTCGTTTGAGACAAAGAGAGTCGTTTGAGACAAAGGGAGACGTTGGAGACAAAGAGAGTCGTTTGAGACAAAGGGAGACTTTGGAGACAAAGAGAGTCGTTTGAGACAAAGAGAGTCGTTTGAGACAAAGAGAGTCGTTTGAGACAAAGGGAGACTTTGGAGACAAAGAGAGTCGTTTGAGACAAAGAGAGTCGTTTGAGACAAAGAGAGTCGTTTGAGACAAAGAGAGTCGTTTGAGACAAAGAGAGTCGTTTGAGCCAAATGGAGACTTTGGAGACAAAGAGAGTCGTTTGAGACAAAGAGAGTCGTTTGAGACAAATGGAGACTTTGGAGACAAAGAGAGTCGTTTGAGACAAAGAGAGTCGTTTGAGACAAAGAGAGTCGTTTGAGACAAAGAGAGTCGTTTGAGACAAAGAGAGTCGTTTGAGACAAATGGAGACTTTGGAGACAAAGAGAGTCGTTTGAGACAAAGAGAGTCGTTTGAGACAAATGGAGACTTTGGAGACAAAGAGAGTCGTTTGAGACAAAGAGAGTCGTTTGAGACAAATGGAGACTTTGGAGACAAAGAGAGTAGTTTGAGACAAAGAGAGTCGTTTGAGACAAAGAGAGTCGTTTGAGACAAAGAGAGTCGTTTGAGACAAATGGAGACTTTGGAGACAAAGAGAGTCGTTTGAGACAAAGGGAGACTTTTGAGACAAAGAGAGTCGTTTGAGACAAATGGAGACTTTGGAGACAAAGAGGGTCTTTTGAGACGTCTCAAGAGCTGACAGGGTTTAGGGTTTGGGGTTTGTGAGGCGTCTCAAATCAGGAACCCACCTGGTTGCCGCCAATGAATGCTGGCCTGGCACGACACTGTCATGGTCGGGCAGGTAGCATGGAATGTCGGGGAGACTGGGAGAGAGGAAAGTGTAACGCGAGGAAAGTGCGAGAGAGGGATGTGCTGTGAGGGGCATCAGAGGATGGGGCAACCTACAACCTACCTGACTGCCAATGAAGGCTGGCACGACAATGTCACGGTCGGGCTTGTAGCATGGAATGTCTGGAAACTGCGGCTGTAAGGTGGAGTTGTAGGTGTAGCCTATGATCTGAGAGAGGAGGGGGAAGGAAGGGAGAGGAGAGATGTGACGCAGAAATGAGAGATGGGAGATGGGAAAGGAGAGGGACTGGCATACGCGGCTGCACGGTCGAGCTGTAGGTGTAGCCTATGATTTGAGAGAGGAGGGGAGAGGAGAGGAGAGATGGGACGCGGAAATGAGAGATGGGAGATGGGAGAGGAGAGGGACTGGCACACGTGGCTGCACAATCGAGTTGTAGGTGTAGCCTATTATCTGAGTGGGGGGAAGAGGAGAGATGAGACAAGGAAATTCCCAGAATCTCAGGCACTACACCACTGAGATAAGAGGGGTTGTTAAAGCAGCAGTATACATTTGGTAGGGCCGTTGGAGGGTTTAGAGTTCCCCAAACAATTGCGCCCCAGCGAATGCACCATTTATAAACTTTTGGCACAAGCCCTGCCAAACGTGTATTGCTGCTTTAAGTAGCAGGTGAGTGCGCCCATAACCCCTAGGCAAACGTGCCTGTAACCTTTCTCTAAAACCAATTGGGCATTCCCAATGTATGTCTTCTGAAACCACCCTCTCAAGGATGCTATAACACACGGCCGCCATTATATGCACAGATGTGATCGAACCCGAAACCTTCGCTCTGATACCATGTATGAATCCCAACCACTGTACCACGAGGATAAAAGAGCTTGTTAAGTAGCGGGTGAGTGCGCCATAACCCCCATAGCGAGTGAGCGTCACACAGCATCGCTCTCAGGCGAACGCCCTCCGTTCCAAGACCAATCAGGCCTTGTCTGCGGACGAGCTCGGCCTGCAAGGCCCGTTTGCCCCACTGAGCGAGAAGCAGCCAACTGACAGAAGCGCCATTCGATTCGACCATTACGGTCGGAAGGGCGAGGGCAGGGTACGTAGGTAAGTATTCTTTTTGCATCCTTAGCTCAATTCTGCCTCTCTCCTGTATGTACATTGCTCAACATTTTACAAAGGACCGTTCGAGAGAGAGGAGAGGAGAGGAGAGGAGGGAACGATTGGCACATGTGGCTGCACGGTCAAGTTGTAGCTGTATCCTGTAGCATAAAGAAGAGCATCACAATGAGCACCACAAAGAGCATCACAAAGAGCATAACGAACGAAGAGCATCACAAAGAACATCTCGCCTCGCCGTGCAGGTGCCCCTATGCACACCTTACCACTGCTCGCACCTTACCACTGCTCGCTCCCCCCCCCACCTGCAGCTTCCTTTCTTCCTTTCCCCGCATTCCTTCCCCCCAGCACGCACACACCTGAGCTCACACGCACCTGCAGGCTCCACTGGACAGACGCGTGAATGGTGCGGGCGAGGCACAATGCAAGCCCCTGCTCTCTCTCTCTCCCCACCTGCAAAATGCCCTCCCTACCTGCACGTTCCTCTCCCCACCTGCAGGTTCCGCTGGACAGACGCGTGGATGGTGCGCGCGAGGCGGTCCCCGTTGAGCATCACAAAGAACATCTCGCCGTACAAATCGGGGTTGACCCACGTCAGCGCGTGGCAACGGCCCTGATCGAACGTGCTCGTGCCAAAGTGATCTCGGCCGTTGGTGCGGTTGAAGTAGGGGAAATCGCTGCGAATCATGGTGAGAATCTCGTGCCACGCCTGGAGGGATGGAGAGGGGAGAAAATGGATGGAGAAGAGGAAAAGCACGGAAATTACTGTTGGACAATTGCGATTCCGGACGGTTGACTTTTGAGTCGACTTTTTTTTTTTTTTTTTTTTTTTTTAGAATTCCAAAAAGTCCCTCATCGTGTTTGTTCGTCCTCATCTTGTTCACATGCATGCGATGCATGTGACGCATGTGACGCATGTGATGCATGTGAGACATGCGATGCATGTGACGCATGTGATGGATGTGAGGCATGTGACGCATGTGATACATGTGAGGCATGTGACACGACATATCATGCGCAGGGTCCCTCATCATATTCTTCATCACCTTGTTCACATGCGCGATGTGGTTAGAAGAGTAGTACGGCACAAACCGACTCAATATAAGCAGACTCGCAACTCACTCACCTTGGAAACTTCCCCGACAGCCTTATCCATCATGTTTTTCTCATTCTTGTTCACGTGCGCGAGGTGGTTCGACGAGAAATACGGCACGTAAAACAGCGTCGCCTTTTCGGGATCCGTCGTGCGAATCGCGTTGCTGCGCATAAGCAGCTCCGTCAGTACCGATTCCACCTCGTATTGGTCAGAAAACCACTCCTTTTTGCGTTCCTTCATCCCCTCCGTCCACTCCGATTGCGTGTCGTACACATAAATAAACGGTCGGTTGTTATCGTCGCCAGCTGCGTCTTTATCATTGCCCCCGGCACCCGCGCCGTCGTCCCCGCTGCCGGAAAACGCGGAGACGGATCCGATAGTCGCTGCAGGAAGGAGCTGCGAGTCTCGCGCAGCGAGAACGGCGGCGGAGGTGGGGGAAAGTCCACGGGATTCTAAATCGCGTCTCGCGCTAGGGAGGTCTCCGGAAAGATACGAGGCGGAAGCGGTGACGACGGCGACGGTGGCGGCGGCGGCGGCGGTAGACAGCTCGGAATTTTCTAGGTTTCTACAGAAGCAATCTTGCGATTGCATGTACGAACTACTACTTAAAAGTACTATTAATATGAACGACGCGACGGCCACATACGCGAAGTGTATAGGAACGCGCTTCGGAATCAACAGCTGCTGCATCTTGGCGGCCTGCACTCCAATTTTAGAGACGTCCAGAACTAGCATCTCCCTCGAGAACATGACGCGGTCCGGAAATCGCGAAGGCGGTCTGAGCGTCAAGCCTGAAAAAGGTGGATTAGGTTTATTTAAAGGTGCCTTGAAGAAGCGGGTCTACACTGCGATTCGTCCACGTCGCTTATGCTGATCTCTCTGATGTCGCTGATGTTGCAGATGTCGCTGTTACTAACTACACCACATAGCCGCTGCCAGCCCAGAATTCTCAAGCCCGAAGCTCAACTCAACTCACCCAACGACGAGCCACCTCGACGACTCTAGTCTAGTGCCCACTGAGATGCACGAAGTTTTACACAGCCGCGGCGCGAATGAACAGCCATAATTGAGGAAGAGCACCCCAGATGGTTTCTGCTTCGGGATAAGTGAGTGGCTCGGTGACATACCGTACAGTACAATATGTGACTCGGCTCGGCGGTTTGGTTGGGGAGCTTTCAACCTGACCGCCGAGCATAGCACCTGACCAACCAGGTGATCGGTGGACGGGCTAGCTTCGAGAAAGTCGTGGTGTGTATGAAAGGCGGCTCGTGTTGACTTAACTGGTTCCTGCGAACAAGACAAATTTCTTGTTTGACAAACAGACGTTAGTTTCCAGGCGAATTTACAGGCCATAGGCGAATTTGGGAGTTCGGCTCGGCAGGTAGCAGCCATCCAATCATGCAATGTGGCTCGGTTCTGCAAGCACATGGAATCGGGTGGGGCTAGGCGAGGGATTTTCAAGAACGTGGTTTGTGTGCCGTACAGTACGGTCGTGGTGTGTAAGAGATTTCAGCGCCGGCAGGTCTCGGGCCATTATCGAAGGCCCTGTCCTCCATAGCTCGTGATGCTCGTACAACTTGTATGCCCCTTGAATCTCTTCTTATTACACTCCAGAGGCAGCACCATCTGCTCCTCAAGCTACTGCGATTGCGCCGCTGCTGCTGCTCCAATCCTCCTCAGCCTGCTCATGAGCATTTCTCCTGCCCCCCGGTCCAGGGAGTCATGCCACTTGAACATGTCCTGTGGCGTGAGCACAGGGGAAGGGGAGTGGGGAGTAAGTGGGGAGTGGAGAGTGGGAAGTGATGAGGAGAAAGCAGTACCGCCCCTGCCCCCCGGTCCAGGGAGGCATGCCACTTGAACATTTCCTGTGGCATGAGCACACGGGAAGGGGAGTGGGGAGTGAAAGAGAGTAGGGAGTGGGGAGTGGGGACCGGTGAGTGATGAGTGGGAAGCAGTGGTTGGGAAATAGGGAGATGAGTGGGGAGTGGGAAGCAGTGGTTGGGAAATAGGGAGATGAGTGGGGAGTGGGAAGCAGTGGTTGGGAAATAGGGAGATGAGTGGGGAGTGGGAAGCAGTGGTTGGGAAATAGGGAGATGAGTGGGGAGTGGGAAGCAGTGGTTGGGAAATAGGGAGATGAGTGGGGAGTGGGAAGCAGTGGTTGGGAAATAGGGAGATGAGTGGGGAGTGGGAAGCAGTGGTTGGGAAATAGGGAGATGAGTGGGGAGTGGGAAGCAGTGGTTGGGAAATAGGGAGATGAGTGGGGAGTGGGAAGCAGTGGTTGGGAAATAGGGAGATGAGTGGGGAGTGGGAAGCAGTGGTTGGGAAATAGGAATGAATGCTTGTGGCGGGGATACAAGAGAAATCCCCTTAAACCCTGGTCCAAGGTGGGAGTAATTCCAATTGAACATCCCCAGTCCCACCTGCCCCAGTTGCACCCGCCCCGCCCCTCACCTGCACGAGCCCCAGGTTGTGCTGCAGCCTCGCCACCAGCCCCGGCCGATCAAACGCCTCCCCAGTCAGTACCACCTGCCCCAGTCCCACCTGCCCCACTCCCACCCCGCCCCCACCTGCACGAACCCCAGGGTGTGCTGCAGCCTCTCAACAAGCCCCGGCCGATCAAACGCCTCCCCAGTCAGTACCACCTGCCCCACTCCCACCTGCCCCAGTCCCAACCCAGCCCCCACCTGCACGAGCCCCAGGTTGTGCTGCAGCCTCGCCACCAGCCCCGGCCGATCAAACGCCTCCTGCAGCCTGCGGGGCAGCGAGTTGAGATCCGCCGGGTCGATGTTGAGAGAGAACACCGGGTAGTTGAGGGCCGAAGGAGGAGAGGCGGTGGCAGAGGGGGTGGCAGAGGGGGACGCTGCTGCTGCTGCTGCTGCTGCTGCCTTGTGACGGTACAGGGACGCGGCCCAGGGGTTGTCGTTGGCACGGAGAAAGGTCACTGGGATGCAGCCTGAGAGGATTGCCTGGGATGGGAAAGCAGGGGAGGTAAGGGGGTGAGGGAGGGAGATGGGAGTGGGAAGTGGTGGGAAGTGGTGAGTGGTGAATGGTGAGTGGGGAGCGGGAAGTGGTGAGTGGGAAGTGGAGAGTGGATAGTGGGGAGGGAGTGGGGAGTGGGGAGTGCGGAATGGGGAATGGGGAGTGGAGAGTAAGTGAGGAGTGGGGAGTGGGGAGTCTCAAGGCACACCTTGGCGAGCTGGATGGTCCACTGAGCCCTACCGGGAGGCACGAGACAGAGCTCGTGCCAATCTGGCAGACCAAGCTCCCGGGAGAGGAAAGATTCACAATCTCACTGAGCCCTACCGGGAGAGGAAAGATTCGACCCGGATCCAATCTGGCAGACCAAGCTCGTCCCAGTATTCATTATTCACTATTCGCTATTCGCTATTCGCTATTCGCGATTCGCGATTCGCGATTCGAGATTCGTAGCTGCCTAGGCACACCTTGGCGAGCTGGACGGTCCACTGAGCCCGACCGGGAAGCACGAGGCAGAACACACTCTCTCCCCACTCGCTGTCGACACCAGCAGCAGCACCATCGCCAGCAGCAGGAGCAACAGCAGCAGCACTATCACCAGCAGCAGCGCCAGAAGCAGCGCCAGCAGCAGCGGCAGCAGCAGTGGTTTCAGAGGCATCCCCTCTGACCCCCCCAGCCTCCTCACTGTCGCCTTGGAAGTTAACCTTCCACCCGTAGATGGCTGCCGCATGGGACGTGTATAGCTGTGGGGGGGTGGGGGGGTTGTGGGGGGTTGTGGGCGTTTGAGTCGACTGAAACACAGCACCAGCGGCAGGAGCAGCGGCAGCAGCAGCACCATCACCAACAGCGCTAGCAGCGGCGGCAGCAGCAGTGGTTTCAGAGGCATCCCCTCGGATGGCTGCTGCATGGGATGTGTATAGCTGTGGGGGTGGGTGGGGGGGGGAAGGCGAGAGAGTGGGCGTTTGAGTCGACTCAAACACAGCAGCAGCGGTAGCTCCACCAGCACCAGCAGCAGCGGCAGCAGCAGTGGTTTCAGAGGCATCCCCTCGGACCCCCCCAGCCTGCTCACTGTCGCCTCGGAACACAACCTTCCACCCGTAGATGGCTGCTGCGTGGGACGTGTAAAGCTGTGGGGGGTTGTGGGTGGTGGGGGGGGTGTGGAGGGGGTGTGGAGGAGGTGTGGGGGGTTGGTGGGTGGGGAGGGAAGGGGGAGTATGTGTGTTTTGAGTCGGCTTATAACAACACCCCAGCCTGCTCGCTGTCGCCTCGAAACACAACCTTCCACCCGTAGATGGCTGCCGCATGGGACGTGTACAGCTGTGGGGGGTTGTGGGTGGGGGGGGTGTGGAGGGGGTGTGGAGGAGGTGTGGGGGGTTGGTGGGTGGGGAGGGAAGGGGGAGAATGTGTGTTTTGAGTCGGCTTATAACAACACCCCAGCCTGCTCGCTGTCGCCTCGAAACACAACCTTCCACCCGTAGATGGCTGCTGCATGGGACGTGTACAGCTGTGAAAAGGTGGGGGGTGGTGTGGGTAGGGGGGTAAAGGGGGAGTGAACGTTTGGAGTCGACTCACAACACACCCCAGCCTCCTCGCTGTCTCCTCCTCGAAACCACCTTCCACCCGTTGATGGCTGCAGCAAGGGACGTGTACGGCTGTGAAAAGGGGGTGGGGGGGGAAGGGGGAGGGGAGTGTGGGTGTGGGGGGGAAGGGTAGAGTGAGTGTTCTGAGTTGGCTCACAACACACCCCAGCCTCCTCGTTATCGCCACGAAACACCACCTTCCACCTTCAGTGTGGTAGGCGAGCAGGAAACGACTGCAGCATTTGACGCATGGAGCTGGGAGGGTGGGTGGGAGGGGAAACGAGCGTTGGGCGAAGATTAAAAGGCCTTGAAGGGCCAACAGAATTCTATCAACCACTTCTCACCTCCATCAACCACTTCTCACCTCTATCAACCACGTCTCACCTCTATCAACCACTTCTCCACCGCATAGTTATGGTGCATGCGTTCAACCTTGATGCTGTCGCTGCTCGCGTCAGCAATGCTGCTCGCTGACGTCACCATCAGCACGCGGATCGTACGACCGCCATAGGCAGCAGCAGCATCATCATCATCAGAAGCAGATTCAGCATCAGCAGCAGAAGCAGGGGTGGCCGCAGTGCGCACGCGCTTCGGGGGGATGACGTGTGTCTGAGTCAGCAGAGGCGGCACAACCACGTCTCGCTTGGGATAATAGCAGGCGATGTCCGGAATAGTGACGTTCATAGGCGCTCCGTAGTTATACGACAGCACCTGCAAGCGCACCGCAGCAGCAGCAAGGGGGAAGGCGGAATGGGGCACGGGGGAGGGGAAGGGGGATTTTGTTGGGGAAGGGGGAGGCAGCGGATCAGGATAGGGGAGAATGAGAGCAACGCTTAGAGTGCGGTGTAGAGCAAGTGCGGTGTAGAGCAAGTGCGGTGTACAACAGTTTCTATGCGGCGATGAAAGCAGTAGTAGAAAAGCTGTCACATGGGTGTCGATTCGCCTACCCGCATGTCGGGTGTCCATCCCGTGTGTACGCTCCGCACCAGAGCATCCCCGTTATAAGTCACGAAGAACATCTCGCCGAGCATCTTAGGGTTTATGTACGTCAGCGCGTCGCATCTCCCGTTCCGCGTCGACAGAATCGAGAAATGATCTCGGCCGTTGGATCGGTTGAAGTGCGGCTCGCGCCGCACCTCGGTAATCATTGCCATCCAGACCTGCGATGTCTTTTCCACCGCGTCGCGCATATCCGAACCTCCATTCGAGACGCTTAGGTAATACTGTAGCAGCCGGGCAGAGTAAAAGGGCACGAAGAACAAACTAGCCTGTTTCGGATCGCGGGTTCGAACCCCACCAGAGTCAGATATTATTTGCTCCGTCAGTTTCCGTTGGAGGTCGAAATGTAACGCGTACGGCGGAACGTCCATCTTCGAGATGTTATCCGTACAGTTGGGCCCGAAATCGTACACATAAATAAACGGTTTCTTTCCTTCCACAGCACCCGCCACGAGAAGCCGATTGAACGTGTCGGCAGGACTATTCGGTAACCGCGCGTACACGTTATAAGCGTTCGCTGCGTTCTCTATAGGCATCGAAGAAGCGGCGCCGGCCGAGTGACACTTAGATTCAGCAGCAAGGAGCTCACTAACGGGAGCTAAAGAGCCGTTGCCGCCATCAGTGATGGCACTGAAGCCTGTGCTGACGTCATTATCGCACATACAAGCCGGCTGTTCTTGACGGAGGATGAACAGGGTGGCGATAATGCCGACAGCCGCAAGGATAGCGACAGTGAGGCGATTCGAGAGGCTCCTAGGAGACGAGGGCGCTTCGGGCGCAAGAGGGCTCATCGACATGCTGCCGGCTGTGCAAACTGTTCCCCAGAATTTGTCTCCCTCCTTGACGAGTGCGCTTTCCATCCGTGAAAAAAATCGCAAATGCTCCGAAACCTTGTTCACCTTCCAAGTTCCATTATCCTAAAGAACTGAACCTGCACTGCATGGTTGGTGAGTGGTGGATGGTCCTTCGTCTCCTCTCCTCCTTTCCCCGCGAATGCACACTCTTGCTCCGTGATTCTTGCAATGTCCAGTTTCTCGCCTTGTAATGCAAGGGCAAACAGCTGCCTCTCATCCCCAGCAGGTCGCCGGATCAATGTTTCAGAAAGGTGAGTGGCGGTTCCAAGCGGTAACTCGTTCAAGTCACCGACTTCCGAGCCTCCATGTGAGGCCTTCCGAACCGAGCCCGAAGTTCGATACACTACATTGAAAACCTCACGTGGGGGCCCTGCAGCGTTGGGGTCACTCGAATCAAACCATCACTTCCAAATTCGCCTGAACCCTGAACGTTTTACGTCTCATGGGATTCCCCAGGAAACGTCCAACTGGGGGGCGACCGAAGACCCCCTGAGATGTCTGTATTTGTTTGCTGCTAACAGAAAACGCGTGAGAAGACGTTCCCACATTGGGCGAGAGCCCTTCCGCACGGAATTTCCCAAACCAGAAAGTCAACCGAATGCGTCCGAACCGAAACACCACAACTTCACAACCTCTCAGCCCTCTGGCTGGAAACTCCCCTAAGCCACCCAACCAAGCCACAGGTTCTCGCCGAGCCACTCGTCTGCTTCGAACCAAAGCCCGAACCTAATCAGTCTCAACTCAACCGCACCAGCTGGAAACTGACGTATAAACAGTACACCTACTCTTTTTCTCAATGCTCGATGTTCTTCGCTCGCGTCGCGGCTGTGCTTTACTTATCACGTACCTCTCACGAGTGCTTCACACTGAGTCCTAGACTCATCAAGACTTTTCGTTGTTGGATGAGCAGCAACTGTTCTAGGAGCAACAACAGTAGAGCAGAGAGACTGGCGACAGCAGCGAAATCAGCGCCAAAATCAAGACAGGGTTATTTCAGTGTAAACTGAGTGCATTTCGCATCTGAGCTTGTCACGGCCCACGCACTCCCTAAACTTATCCAATCCAAATTCTTTCATGGCGTGACGCTCAGAATCTTCGCCATTCCCGGACCGCGTGTTGTCCTCGAGGAAAAATATAGTTCCAGACGTCACTAAAATCAAAGTACAGGCCGCTAAGATGCAGCTGCAGCTCTTAAGTCCGAAGCGCGCTCCCGAGCTCTTCGCCGTTGTGGGCGTCGCGTCGCTCTTATTGATAGGGCTTCTATGTAGTTCGTATCTGCAGTTGCTACCGCAAGACTGCTTCTGTCCAAACCTAGAGGATCCCGAGCTGACCACCGCCGCCGCCTCCGCCGCCGCTTCCGCTTCCGCCTCGTCTCTTTCCAGAGACCTCATTAGCGCAAGACGCCATTTAGAAATAACTGGAGTTTCCGCGACCCCCGCCGCCGTTTCCGCAGCGGAAGTCACGCAAGCCGTCCCTGCAGCGACTATTGGATCCGACGCCGCGTTTTCCGGCGGGAACGCCGGCGGTGCCGGGGCCAATCAGGACGCAGCTGGCGACGGAGGAAACCAGCAGTTTATTTACGTGTACGACACGCAATGGGCGTGGACGGATCCAATGAAAGGACTCGATAAGGATTGGTATTCGGACCAATACGAGGTGGAAACCGTGCTAACGGAGCTTCTTATGCGTACTAACGCGGTTCGCACGACGGATCCCGAAAAGGCGACGCTGTTCTACGTGCCGTACTACTCGTCGAACCACATCGCGCATGTGAACAGGCTGATGAAGAACATGATGCAAACGGCAATCGCGGAGGTTTCTAAGGTGCGTTCGTGAGTCTGCTTATATCGAGTCGAACCACATCGCGCATGTGAACAAGCTGATGAAGAACATGATGCAGACGGCGGTCGGGGAGGTCTCTAAGGTGAGATGCGAGTATGCTTATATCGAGTCTTGACCTCACCTCGCGTCCCTCCAGGCGTGGCACGAGATTTCTCACCATGATGCGCCGCGACTTGCGCTGCTTTTGAGTTAAACACAAGAACAATCTTTTTGCATGTGCTATCTTCTCTAAATAACCCTTCTTCTAGGCGTGGCACGAAATTCCTTTTTCTTTTAGGCGCCTCAATATTCGCTCGTAACCGCTTCTCCCTCTCCCCCCTCTCTCTCTCCACCAGGCGTGGTCCGAGATTCTCACCATGATTCGCCGCGATTTCCCCTACTTTAACCGCACCAACGGCCGAGATCATTTCAGCACGAGCACGTTCGATCAGGGCCGTTGTCACGCGCTGACGTGGGTGATCCCGGATTTGTACGGCGAGATGTTCTTTGTGATGCTCAACGGGGATCACCTTGCGCGCACCATGCACGCGTCTGTCCAGAGAAACCTGCAGGTGCGTGCATGCTGAGGGGAGGGAGGAGAGGAACGTGCAGGTGGGGAGGGAAGAGGGGCTTGCATTACGCCTCGCGCGCTCCATGCACGCGTCTGTGGAGCGCAATTTGCAGGTGCGTGCACGTGGGGAGAAGAGGGTCGCCCCCTCTCTCTCGCCCCCTATCGCCCGCCCGCTCTCGCCCGCCCGCTCTCGCCCGCCCGCTCTCGCTCGCACCCACTCTTTCTAACCCCCCCCTCTCGCTCTTTGCCCTCGACTCAACTCAAAAGTCACCCTGATTGTTGGATGCAATACAGCTACAGTAAAAAACTCGCCACTGATTTTTCTTTTTTGAAATTTCGAAATGAATCGGTTGAATTCTCAAAACGAATATGTTTTTTGAGAATTCTCAAAATAATCACGTTTCTTCTATGATTGTCAAAATGAATCTGTATTCTCAAACTACAACAACTCGCCACTGCACCCTCAGTTTCCAGGCATTCCGTTCCCCCACCCCCCTTCTCCCCCCTTTCCCTTCTCCCACGAATGCACAGATTGTAGGGTACAACTACAACTCCACCTTACAGCCGCAGTTCCCAGACATCCCCTGCTACATGCCCGACCGTGACATTGTCGTGCCGGCTTATATTGGCGACCAGGTGGGTGGGCTTTCACAAGACATTGCGCTTCTTGAGGCGCCTAGAATATAGTGGCATGGCAGTTCCCACACATCCCATGCTACATGCCCGACCGTGACATTGTCGTGCCGGCTTATATTGGCGACCAGGTGGGTGGGCTTTCACAAGACATTGCGCTTCTTGAGGCGCCTAGAATATAGTGGCATGGCAGTTCCCACACATCCCATGCTACATGCCCGACCGTGACATTGTCGTGCCGGCCTTTATTGGCGACCAGGTGGGTTGCCCCATCCTCTCATGCCCCTCACGACACGTCCCTCATGCCACACTCTCCCACTCTCCCCGACGTCCCCTGTTACATGCCCGACCTCCCCCTCGCCCCCCACGCTCTCCCCCTCCCTCCCCACCCTCCCCTCCCCCACTCCCCCCCAGATATCCATGGTATCGCCCTTCGTCGGCAGTCGTCCCATGCGAGCCATCTTCCAATTCTCACCTTCTCTCGTGCTGCTGCCGTCTCCCACCCCCCCACCACACACTGCCCACCCCCCTGCCCCTCCAGATACCCATGGTGTCGCCCTTCGCTAGCAACCGTCTCATGCGAGCCATCACCCGCTTCCCCTCACCCACTCCCCTGCTCCTCCCCTATGTTCAAACGTGCCCTCATGTCCTACTCTCTGCACCCCCCTCTTGCTCCAGATACCCATGGTGTCGCCCTTCGCCGGCAGTCGTCCCATGCGAGCCATCTTCAGCTTCTCAGCCTCTTCTCTTCCCTGCTCCTCGCACGTCTCCCTTCCCCTTCCCCTTCCCCTTCCCCTTCCCCCACC